TGATTTCTTTTTAACTCTACATTGATATTACATATATTTATATATTTATATATGTATAACATTACATATACATTTTATATAAAAGTGCGCGTTTTTCTACCAACGAATCTCTCGATTCTCACGAAAGAGACAAATATAAGTCACGCGAAGCAATTGAAACTGATTATATTATACTCGCTTCCACCAACGTAGATTAACTTTAATCTCTCTCAGTTTAACTTACTCTTCATTTTTCTCTTATAAGTTATAAGAATTAGAAAAAGATGAAGAATAAATTGAACCAAAATTAAAGTTCTATATTAGTAGGAAACTAATATTAGTGCGTATTTCAACTCCATTTTATTGCTACGATAATATCAAAACTAAGAAATATTGTAATTTTTTTAAAACATGAAACGCATTTAATATATATATATATATACTTGTATATGTTTCTTTTTGCGGAAACTTTATGTCTCAAATAATTAATTAACTACAAAATTCACTACGAATAGAAAGCGACTACATTAGAATATTTTAAAAGTGATTTCTACGCGTACCAGATAATTTGAGAACAATACTAGGAAAGTGTTGAAACTTGGCTCTTTATAGAAAAGATAGTTTTCGAACGTTCCATGAATGTGCCCCGAAGAAAGTACGTAACGACCGTAAAAAGAAAAAGAACACGTCGCGGAAAAGCAATCGAAAGTAACGTTGCGCGTGCAAAGGGTTTAACAGAGCGAGAAACGAAAGCAAATCCAAAGTCAAAAGAATATACCATGACACACCGCGGGTAGAATTAACGGCGGGTGATACGTATGACGTTGGGTCTACATCACGGGGATCAAGAAGCCTCGTGCGCGAGGAGGAAGTATAATAATTGGATGTCAACACCCACGAGTGTGTGCGGAACATTCGCGCACGTACACATTTCCCCTAACATGCCATTCCATCCATTCCAGGCCGTCGCGTCTCACCCTTTCTCAGTCTTCCTCCCTTCCGCATGCGGTGAACCGCGCGGCGCTCTTTTTCCACCTTGCACCGATCCAGCTGCGCGTATAAATAAAATAAGGCTCCTTTTCCTGGCTGCTAACGCATCCCGACGCACCAAGTGCGATTCCAAAGCGAAAAAAGAAATGGTCAACGGCGTCTTGGCGGAGCCCAGCGGAATTACGTTGCGTCGTTTCAATCATTTATCTCGTGTCTGGTCTTGCGCGACCTCGAAGAAACGACGGATCGAGATAAATGACTGCCAAAGATAAAGCAGTTAAAGCTTGCGCAGTTAAAACTAATGCCGGGGGATTCGAAAAGAAAAAAAAAAAAATTATAATTATTTATAGGCTACTCATTACTTTTTCGATTTATCATAGAGAGACGATAAATTGACGGACAACTCTCTCATTAAAGTTTCCATCAGAAACACTTTGCACCCAATTATAACTATTTATATTAAGAAAGATTATTGCACTTTTTACGATAGTCATAAATTTCCGATACAAAATCAAAATTATTCGCACGAATAAATAATCATCGTATAAACGTGTAAGTATACGAATAAAATAGAAATGACAAGATCGATTTGGACTCTCGCAGAATCACGAAATGCACTTCGCTCATCCGTGTTATTTTCAGTCATTCCGTGCACTCTATTCCTGCACATCTGTCTCGATCTGTGGCAAAATAAACATTTCTACACAATGTACGGAGCCTGATGTGGAACAATCTTGCGACCGTTTGTCCTAGAGTCGCAACAGTTGTATTTCGCGCTTCTATGTCGATTTTCCTCGATAGTTTGGCACGCTGCATGTCACTGATGCATCCGGTGCATTGTATTATATTAATTGAAAAATATTAGATGAACTTCCCAAAAGTGCGGCGTTCGAATATTAATCACGTATTTATTAGCTTACGAGCTGCATTTTAACGACCATGTATTAATTTATAATAATTTGAATCAATATATACGTATAATTGCAAGGCAATATTTTAGTATTATAGTCACTAAAATGTGTACATGTAATATACGTTTAATGATATATGCTGAAATACTGAAGTGCATTTTGAATTTGCAATCGTTGACGTAATGCCGCATCTAATACGGTCGCCTCTGTAATCTGTCGCCATGCTAAATTAACAGATATAGACACGAGTCGCGGAAGACTTATCAAAGCGTCTAACTATTGACAACGTTCTACCCCAATTGCTCTAATCGCTAGCTCATATCCCTGCCTCGAATTCATTTCCATGAGTGCTTGATGACTTGATTATATCGCGACATTTGCAAATAAAAGTTTATAAATATATTTTCTACTGTAATAAATAAATAAATAAATAGTTTCAGTACTTAAAAAAATATGGGAGCAGTTAAAAATGAGTGCAGTTTTATAATATTTTGAAGAGTTAAAAAATTTAATAGAACAAAAAAAACTGTCAGTTATTAATTTATCAATATATTGATAAAGCGATGCATAATGTGAGTATTGATTCATAAATCAATTCCTTGAGACATTATTTACTCAAGTGTATATCACTCTCCACAGATATCAGTCATAAATATAGATTAAGTAAAAACATGTAGAGAGATAACTGCAAATTTTTTGAACACTCGGATTCTTGACATTTCGATAAGAATTACAATAAAGTAGTTAATGTTTACGTTAACCATGAAGAATGTCGATTTGTTCTTCCCTGCTATATGATTATGTGTACCGCTTGTCCATCAAAATTACAGTTATAAACGCTCTAACAATAATTTAAGCCATCTGTTCACCAATGTAATTTACGATTGTAAGGAATCTGACAATAGAATTAACGGCATAATATATTTCTAATTTTCTGTGTAACTTTATTCAATCGCGAAAATATTGCAAAATAGTCATATTTGAGGTCTTTATAAAATTGGCATTCCTGCGAATTTTTACAAAATTCATATGGCGTTTGATTGTTCATAATTTGTCAGCATTTGTTAAAAAATCTTTTCTCTGTCCATCCTGCAAAAATAAAATATAAACAAAGAAGTAGTGCGTTCGGTAGGAACACTCACAAAAATTATTATTTATGGATAAATATGGACAAATTCGGCACTCAAATGATATTTTGCAAAAATTCGCATTTAAGAGTGCCAGATTTTCACAGACCTTTATACGTGCAGGACAGCACATATTCTGAAGGTTCGTCCCCATCGAAACCGATCAGCATACTGGTTTCTTCTTCTTCTTCTTCTTCTTCTTCTTCTTTCTTTCTTTCTTTCTTTATAAAGAAAGAAGAAAAACAAGTTACAATTGGCTTCGGTGAGGACGAGCCTTAAGAGATACTCGAAACATTCCAAACTTTTAGTATGTCGTAGTAAACATAAACTGAAATTGAAACTGGAATTTTTATCTAAGGTTTCGTTTTATCACGCTCGAAACTTTTCCACGCAATGACAAGTGGTTCAAAAGTGTTCAAGATTTCCGTGAGACATTAAGCAGATCTATAAATCTCCGCGACACTACACATTTCTGTCTGCTAACGTTCAGATGCATACGCCAATATGTGAGTGTCTGAAGTTTCGTGTTAAAACGTAATGGAGTCACGAAAGAATTGTTGTTCTCGTCCTTCAATGTCCAACGTCGTCGTATTTCGTTCTCGCACGTTCCTATATTTATGCATTACATACGCCCGAGTTTGTTTCTGGCAAACCGTTTGTTGTGTCGCTGTAATTTATAACTGTATCCCGTAATAAGTTATCATCTCCGCTATACAGTTATACAGCTACGAATATTTTGCATCTTATATTAATTGCAAATCTCTTACTAAGATCGATGTATCAGTTTACTGGTATTTCCATACCGTGTTTCATTAAAATTCGCACCTATTACTTCCTACGTAAGCCGCATTATATTGAATACATAATAGAGCTATAGTTCTCCCCAGTACGTGTATCAGTTCATCGCTCGCTACCTCTCGCACTTCTTACGCAACCAGAAACGGCGTAGCGGGTAACTTCGCTGGAGAGACGTTGCCCGCGCGAGATCATAAATTACCGGAGGGGGCACCGCGTAATACCCACGTAGAGCACCGTCACCCATGGCACCCATAGGTATGCGAGGTATCTCAGAGCCGGCTCGAGGGTTCCTCGACTGCATACGTAGCCGATAAGAAGGTGCCGGTACACGCCCCCACCCAAGTTCGGTACGGTCGCCAAGTGGCCGACGACTAACGACCGGTACGTGGAGTGTACCTACTTTATAGCGGAGCCGAGGAGTATAGCGGACGAAACGAGCGGAGACGAACGTGCATGGGAGTGCAGGCGGAGTGGCGCGTATACGTGTATATATATATATACACGTATACTTATGCACGTATACGTGTACACATATGCCCACCAAGGCAGCATACGGCGAACCGGGCGAATCGGCGAAGAGAGGGAAGAGAGCAGTCTCATGCCCAAGCGAGTAGTCGGGCCTCAGAATCGCGCGGAGCTCCAGCTCGGTCTCTCCGGCCGCTCTCTCAGGCACGCCGTTGACCAGAGAAACCAGCCAGCCCAGCTCCTACGACACATTCCGACAGCACCGCCGTAAAGTTACCCGGGGAGACCTTCTTTGAATTACGCTCCGAAATACCTGCCCGTGGTAGCGGTCTCTCGCGCCGCGCCGCGCCGCGTTGTTACTCCCAAAACAACCGTCTCACTCGCGGAGACGGTCTCGTCGTTTTAGTGTGCCGATCAAACGCCGCGAGACCGAAAGGACGACGTTAGAACCGATACCGATCCGGATCGACCTGGAATCGATCCAATACAGCCCCTTTTCTGGGGCTAATACTGTACTCGTTTTATTGTTCTCGAGTGTTTCTCTCGAGAAGATTAAACGTGGTACTGATTCTGTGTGTTACAAAGAGGTTCTCTGTACGTCGATTAACCGCCACGATCTGAATCGGTCTGGAATTGTTCCAATGTAAGACGTTTCGAAGTATATGTTACTATATATTTCTACTCTTTGCTACATCAAAATCAAACATTGCATCGACTGTGCATCGAACGTCATATCATCGTGATTCAAAAAAAAAAAAAAAAATGCAAGTCATGTGAGGAATTTTACCATTTTAGTGCATCAATCGAATTCCACAGCAATTTTACGCGTTGTTACCAGAATATGAATATAAAAATTGTTCAATAAAATTCCAGCCAAGGAAATGTGTCCGTGCGTACGTGTGATATGCTGTGAGAAGATTAAAAGTCCTTCTAAAAGAGTACATCATTCATTGAGTGCGCTTCATCATCTGGATTAAATAGTACACCAATTTTACGTGCTGACAAATATATATATATATATATATATATATATATATATATATATATGTATATGTATATATGAATCGAAAGCTCGACGAGCTTTGATCCGTTTCGAACAAACGACAGATTTATGTTATCAGCTATACTACAATACCTGCAGTCTGCTGTCGCAAAAACATGAAATGTCTCATCAATTTTGCACTTTGCCGTGGAGAATATTCCAGGAGTTCGTTTCAACCGAAGAAAAATTTCGCAATACTTGTTGCGAAGCGGAGAGCATATGTTTCGAAGAAACGGACATAGCAACACTTCGATTGAACGGATCGTTGATTCCTCGCGTGTAGGATTAAGGAACTTCGCCATGAGATCGTTCCGACCGGGAAACATGCGTGCGGTTTGAGGATAAACACCGTGTTCTCGTGTTGTAATTTCGGAGTTGCCAGTTATTTCTCTATCCGCAAACGCAGCGGTGTAACTTGAAAATTCGACGTGCATTCGCGTCTCGTTGAAATTACCAAAACTTTCACGAAAACGGGAAGCGAAAGTTCGCTAGAACGCTAGAACGCTATATGCCCTTACTTCAACAGATGATGTTTGTTTGTGAAGATTTCTCTAACCTGTAAAGACCCGTCTAAGGACTATCAGCAGACACACATAAATCCGACGAATCTTTTACCTGAGTTTCTTTTTTAGAGCCTCGGCGTCTCGTGCAGTTGTACACATGCGAGATGCATCACGCAGTGATGACACCATACAATCCATTAGACACAAAAAAGCGTGAACATGCATACAAATCGAAACACACACGACAAACGTCAATTACAGAAATGACTTCATATTATTCGTATTGACAATTCAAAGTGGTGTCGCGCGGAATTATCTGCATTTTTTTTTCTTAATAC